GCGCACATGTACAGATGGTGGTGGCATCGCGAGCAGAGACTGTGGCACATGCATAGGGTAGACTCATATTTAAATTCCTAGTTTTAGGTTAGTATAAGGTGTTTTGCATTTCATCGTTTTAACTTATTTTATATTTGTTTTTAATTTCTCTAATTTTTAGTATTTTTTTATTTAAACACGTAAAACCATGGCTGTGTTTTCTAGAGAAGATGTTTTAAATATTTTCGACATTTATATTATAGATGATATTTTCTTTTAAGAGTTATATTTCCGCATATAAGAAGAGCATGAGACATTAGTAGCGACTTTGAATATGTAGAAATTTAGGGTCGTTACATACATGGTTTGGAATAAAGCTTTTAGAGTAAAGATTGTCGTGTCTACACGGCTCAGAGAGGTGTTGTTAGCATAAGAGGACTCTAAGGCTAGAAAAGTAGAAGTATCCGAACAATATCCCGATATAGTCCTAATCGTCCAAGATATTTGTGTCTTCGATATAATACTTGCCTTTGGATAGTTGGTAGAGAAAAATGCCTACATTAATTATTGTCAATCGAGAAGTGATATCAAGTCACTCACTCATCACAACATTAAGTTAGGGAGTGAGCTTTAAGGGTATGTTGAAGGTTATCTTTGCATTGATGGAGAACAAGCTAGTTAGCCACAGGGCTTGGGACTTGTTGGCAAGATGTATAGAACATAAGTGATAGCGAGGAAAGTTAGTTTTATGATTGAGCTCAAGCTCAGGATGACCTCAATCTTGAAGACTCTGTATAGGATGACCTCAATCGAGCCAAAGGAAATTAAGGAGAGGTTGTAGGATCTACTCGAAAGGGGGGCTTCATAGGGCTCAGTACGTCGCTCTAGAGAGCATAGTGTTGTTTGTTTAAGAGAAGGATGGTTCCTGCCATTGTGTATATAGTATTGGGAGTTGAATGGGTAAACATCAAGAATAGGCATCCACTAGCATAATATTCTCCAAGATAGACCTATGTTCTAGATACCATTAGTTGAGGAGTCAAAAGGAAGATATACCTAAGACTGTGTTTAAGAGAAAATACGAGCATTATCAGTTTATGATATTGTTCTTTGAATGGACTAAAATCCTAAAATCCCTACCACAGTTATGGAAGTAATCAACAAGTTGTTTAAATACTTCCTTGACTCATTATTGATAGTGTTTGATGTACTAAAAAAATTGAAGGTCCGACCATTCATGAATAAGTTGTAGAGGTGAAATTCTTAGTTTCTCTAAGGATTTTAATGGCAATATCACCCTCCATTTAAACCATTCTTGATGAATCTTGGACCATTGTATTCAACATTACGAGTACTATAAGAACAATGAAGAAAAAAAATATGTTCGTGAGGCCTATAAGAGAAGAACCAGCGTGAGTTATCTCCAGCCATTTTGAACGATTCTTGAGACGTTCTAAATTGGTTCGCTTGATTCAATTCAAGTCGGTTCAGTTGGACCATTGTATTCAACATGACCCAAATTGATCTCAAGAAGTCAACCAATTAAGTAACTCTGCATACTTTTTTATAAGGAATACTTATTAGAATCAGCTATGACTCAAACACATGAACTATTAACATGATTAAGAAGAATTTGACATGAAAATGAATAGAGAGGCCTATGGTTATGAATAATGATGGTTTAACTTGATTGCATGTTTTAGGATTTCCGCTATGCATAATTTGACTTTGATTGATCCAAAAACTTTGTCGGAACTCTAACATGATATGATTTATCGTACCTTACTTGATTTGTATGTACCTTGCTAGATATGCATAATTTTTATGAATTAATATTGTTTATGCCCCTAGAAGCATATTAGGATATTGGAATACCTACTTATCACCTTATTTATATATGGACTAAGTGTTATGTGACTTAGAGGATATGCATGACTTATTAGCAAGCCTTATTCTATGACTTGTTTTTCCTTGGTCCTTGACCCATATTTAGGATTGATTATGACATTATGTGACGACTAGGTCTATGTAGGGACAGTTGATGCACAACAATTAATCGTGAGCTCACCTCGACTAACGAAAGTCTACTTAGCATATGTGAATGCAATTTCACCCACTTAGCGCTCGTGGCACACTAAATGGTACTATTGAAAGAGCTACAGGTGTGCTTAGTGGGGGAGCTTGTCTTGCACAATTTAAGGGCCTAGAATGGCAAGAGGCTAGAATGGCAAGAGGATAGGGAGCTTATGAGGCATCATTAGGGGATCTTACGACTAGCGCTCAAAAGATGACACATATTAAGATATAGGTGATGGGAATGAATGTTTCGTTCGTGCAAGAAAATTACTGGAATCAATATTAATTTATTTAGAATTAAACAAAACTAAGGGCTAACCAAACTTTCATTGAGAAAATATGGGGAAAGTTATAGCGGTCTTTAATCTACTTGCTCCAACTCCTCCGATGGTTGAATATTCTTCACATAGTTCTTGATATGACTAGAACACAAGGTCAAATCTCTTCCAATGGTGTGTTAGTTTTCTTTGTGTAGAACTGAGACACCAAGTTCACCTCTCACTTTTGGAAGGGTCTGCAAAAAGCGTTGAATATGCAACTGTTGTTTAGTACAATTTTCCACCATTAAATTAACAGATAAGCTGAAAGGTTGAATCAGGTTCTGGAGGACATGTTAAGAACTTGTGTAATGGATTTCATAGGTTGCTCGAATGAGCACCTGCCTCTTGCCTACAATAACAGTTACCAAGTGACTATCTAGATGACACTGTTTGAGAATTTATAAGGCAATGGTGTTAGATATTAATTTTCTAGGAAAAGGTAGGTACACAACCGACTTTTGAGACTGGAGTTAGTTTATGTTATTAATGCAGCAGCGTAGAAGATTAGACAAAGAATACTTATCGCATAGAGCCAACAGAAGAATGACACAAACTCCCATAGAAATGACCTTGGAACGTAGGAGAGGGGTGTTGAGGTTCCAGAAGAAGAGCCAGTTGAGTTTGAGGTTCATAGGTCCTAGAGAGGATAGAGGCTAGCGCATACACACTGGCATTACCTCCAACTCTTACTATCGTGCATAATGTGTTCTATGTCTCCATGTTGAGGAAGTACACTCCAGGCCCTACCCACTATCATAAAACATGAGGCACTCCTTCTTCAAGAGGATTTATCTTATGAGAAGAAACCTACTAGGATTTTGGCTCGTGGTGTAAAGTGGTTGCACAATAAGGAGACCTTTGGTCAAAGCCCTATGGAGTAACCATCAAGATAACAAGGAGACTTAGAAATTGAAAAAGGATGTGAGAGGGTCCTATCCCGAGCTCTTCCTAGATTAGACCACTGTTGGGGACAGAAATTTGTAAGGAAAAGGAGAATTTGTAATGTCCAAACCCAACAAGTGCGTAAGCTTTCCAAGCCTTTTCTATTTTAATTTTGAAACCGGGATTAAGTTACTATGCTCCCTTAATACTGATGCTAGCTTAACGTAGCTTCTTGGAATTGTACTATGGAAATTGATTTACCTAACTTTGCCTAAAATAATTTAAACTTAAATTCAAAAATTTAAATTAACTAAAAAGTAGTCGGAGTAACCTTAAACGCGTCTGAAGAGTTGGAACTAGGAAAGGGTTCGAGCATGCTAGATCAGCCAAGGAACTGCGGAGCCGTGAGAAAATGTATTCTCCGGCTAGCTATAAACCACCTCAATGGATGAAGTTGGACAAATTTTATTTTTTATTTTGGTTATTACAAAATTTTTCAACATTGAGGGTTTATGAATCATTTTGCTATTTTTCTATTTTTTTAAAATTTATTTTCTAACCATCCTTATACAACTTTGATCCAGCATTTTATGGATTTTAATAATGGTAGGATGTTGCCAATATTCTTATATTTTTCATTCGACAGATAATATTACATGGTTAATAAAATAATTAAAATTATTTTTAAAAAATTTAAATAATTAATTACTAGATTTTATGACTAAATTCTAATAATCTCTCACTTGCACCATAGTCATAGACACGTGTCTTAAGGCATACTCTATATATATCTATACATTGTATATTCTTCTACTTGTCCTTTAAAAAATTAGACATATCTCGTAATTCTATACATTTTAAGTGACTCGTAAACACTTCAACTTATAAATCAAAACAACCGTTATTAAAGTTATTGTTCACTTTCATGATATTTTCTAGAAATCATTACCTATAGATTATTAAAAGCCATCTTAATATTAGTCTTAAGGAGAAACTAAGGATGGCAGTATGTTATAACAAAGCTAGATGATTCATGGAACTTTAATGGAGTAATAGTGACACTTCGGAAAAGGTTGATGCATAATGACAAAGTGAAGAACTATGAGTGCAACTATACAACTCATGACTTATATAGTTGGTATCAATTTTTTATGTTGAATATATAGCTCCATTATTTTTATGGAGAGAATATTGATCTTCACCGACCATGAAAGCTTGAAATATTTATTCACGCAAAATGAGCTACACATGAAGCAAAGGTAGTGGTTAGAACTAGGAGGATTACAACATCGAGATCCTTTACCATCTTGGTAAAGTGAATATTGTGGTCTATACCCTGAATAGGAAAACGACTCACACATCAGCATTGATTACAAGGTAGGTAGAGATTTAGGTTGACCTAGAGCAAGCTGGGATAAAGATGTCTGTTAGGGGCATAGCTCACTCAATTGAGCATCTAGCCAACTGTAAGAGAGCTTGTAATAGATTCTTAGAGGGAGGATTTCAACTTGGGTCGGGTATGATGACAAGATAAGGCAGAAAAGATAGATTGATGGTGGCTTACTTTGGTGTGATCGTCTCTGGGAAAGGTACTTTTTGATGTAATGACCTACTTTTCGAGAGACTCGAATCATAAATTGTCATGTACTAAAATTGGACTTATAAAACCAGGAAACTATGTGAAATTTTACTTAAAATAATGACTTCAAAACTGAGACAAAAACAGTGATTGGCAGACGATCCTATTCTCAAACTTATGATCTATTAAAAAGGTTGCGTTGCATAATTTCTCCTTTTAGTGGATCCTCATGATTACAGTAATCTAATTGAACTGTATTGTAAAAACACTCGAGTAAAACAAGAAAGAATGACCAACAAATAGAAAGCTGAAGAACTCATGAATTTATTAAAGCCATTACATTCTTACATCCCCAAAGCCTCCACAAATGCATCTTTCACAACAGGATTGGAAGCTGCTACCCTCTGTGATGTTATGTCAAAATCATTGCCAGATCTGCCATTACAATTAACATCCATCCATCAAAACCAAAGTTAACAAGACTTCCTTGTTTTCTCACAATTTTTTTACCAACACTTTCACAGTTTTCAAAGAAACACACAACTTTTCTAAATTTACTTCGGATTTTGACAACATTTTTGAAGGTAAATAACAAGACAAGTGAAAGTAGTGTTTATACGCTCCAATTTTAAAAAATAAAAAACAAAAAAAAATAGTTATCAAATAAGACTAGCCACAAAAGAACTCCATTACTCGAGCATCAGCTGATTGACAAAAAATTCCTTTTTTTTGTTTGTATTTCTGTATTTCAGTTAGAAAAGTGTTTGCTTGTCGGAGTAGCGTTAAAAGTTTAACAGACAGGACTCATGTTAATGCCACTTACGGATCAAACACGAGCCCACCAGCTTCGGTGACAATAACAGCTCCAGCAGCGACATCCCTGAACAATTAATGAAATATTATGATTGTGATATCTCAGACAAGCAATGAACAGATAAGTTAGTATGTTGTACCAGGGACCTCCAAAACCAGTTTCGAAAAACAAATCGATCCTTCCACAGGCTACCCCACAGAGGTTCAGCGCACAGGAACCACTCATCCGAATTGATCTCACCTACATACGAAAAAGATGTTGACATAAATGTGAAGATCACAGAATGTTGTAGGGAACAGAGTTAAGGTCTCACTATACCTTCAAAAGCAAACGATTAATTCTGTCTGTAGTAGCATCTACAGTCGACTTGTCACGTTTGGTCCCAACCTGTACATATTCATTATGATCGACTTTTATTTTGGTCAAAAGTCTAAGATTGGCCAATTGTAGATAAAATTATCAAACATTGTATATATTGATTAATGCAAGTATATGCTTATAGATATGAAACAAAGAAAATCACTACTTGACAGAGAACTCGAGGGCAGCATTTGAATTGTGTTTTTCCCTATGTGGTCTCGGGTGGATAAAATTAAGGGATGGTGAAGGATTTCAGAGATGAGAACTCAAGGAGTTGGAAATGGCCAATGAGAAGAAAATTGACAGAGGACCCTTTACAGGGTTAAGAAAATATTTCTACAAACTAAGGTTTTTGAACATGATTGCCATATTCATTGCTATCGTACTTATCAGATAAGCATTTGGCCCAAAGATAATCCATAACAGAACATCAAGGTACAGATCATGAAGAGAGTTAGTAGAAATGTGAATAGGGACTGAAGGTTTTGCAATCTATTCAGAACGTTGAATGCAGTTTTACAAACTTTAATTCATTTCCACAAGAAATGCAAAGTAAAGAAGTGCCAGTGATGCCCATGGCAGTCTCATAATCAGTAAAGACATTGACTAATTTAACCAGTTTTTAAGGAGATACAGATACCTCAGATACAAGAAGAGACTTCAACAATTCGTCTTGGGAGGATACTGAAAAATAAGAAATGAGGCGTTTGAGAGAAATAAATTATATAAAATTTCAAAGTTTCAGAGAGGTTGAAATGCCACATACTCACCTTTAATAGGCCTACCATTAAGGAAGGCACCTTTTCCACGAATTCCAGTAAAAAGCTAGAGACCATGAAAGAAAAAAAAACTAATACAATTGGCTCAGCAAGAAATGGATAATAAAACAATGTAAAAGTCTCTTTCATAAGAATCATGGTGTTCCAAATGTTCAACTGAACCTATTACACAATCCAAGACCAAGAAGATTCAACAAGCATCTATTCTTCGTCTACAAAATTGGATAGGCTTGGTTCAACCATTATTTCATGTGCTAGAAGCTGGTTTTGAGGAAGGACCATTTGGAGCTTCGGAAGTGAATATTTGCAAAGTTGAAGTAGCGGATGAAATTGCTATAAATTGCACTTTATTGATAATTTGTTAGAAAACTTTATTTATTATTTTAATTTCATAATTTCTTGTAGTGAGAAAAAAAGGGTGGGAAATTACTCGTCAAAGTGGCCATAACTTTTTTGTGGAGATTTAAAGGTTAGTGGGAGTAAATCATAGCCACTATCTTCTTTAGTAGGCATTCGACGAGTTGAAAGCTTTTTTTGTGGAGAAATTATAAATACCTACAAATTATTATGTAAAAGACATAATTTTAATGAATGAAATTAAGCTCTCAAGTTGAGACTTTCACCCTAAAAAATTTGAGCATCATTTTTGTCATTTCTAAGTTTCATACAATTCTTGTGGTAGATTGCATCTGAGCTATTCAATCATGATCAAGTTCGAGTGTGGAGTGACTCAATTTAGAACAAGGTTCAAAATCTTACTTCTAGATCTTTGATTTTAAGAGATAATCTAATTCTAGTCTTATCTCTTGGTTGATCTGAATTTTGTATAAAAAGACATTAATTTCTTTGATTCAAGGGTTCTTGCTTCAACAAAAGCTTGGATCGTTGGGGCTGATGATTAGGGTTGCCTTATCACTTCGAGAGGAAGATAAACATATTTCACATATTTGACGATAAACAGGTCAATTTGATCATATCAAAGCCAACAGCATTTACATAAGGTTATGGAAAACGTTGGTCAAACGGTAGAAAAATGTGCAACATTGTGTCCCTATAGGCAATATAAGATAATCACAAAGCTGAACTTTGCCAAACAAATATAGGAACCTGAGATAGTATCAAACATCATTTTCCTGTCATGCGAGTCTCACCTCATCAATAATTGGATTGTAGACGACTCCAACCGTGGGAACCTTTCCAATGGTCAGACCAATAGAAACACACACAAAAGGGAACCTACAAGTTGTCATGTAGCGGAATTAACGTCAGCAAAAGCAACAGATACATAAAGGAAAGGAACCTAAATTGCAAGCAAGGATGGGTACCCATGAACAAAGTTTGTCGTTCCATCAAGAGGATCGACAATCCATGTTGGTTCATCGGTTAACTCAGTATGACCAAAAGCAGCAGTAGTTTCTTCCCCAATGAACTGAGGTAGCATGTTTGGAACAATTTAGGAGTATGAACAAAAGTATACTTTTTCTTCCTACATAATGGGGAATTTAAAAGGAGTTACAAGAACTAGACCTTATGTGAAGGGTAATGGTCCTTGAGATAATTAAATATGAGATCTTCACAAGCCTTGTCAGTTTCAGTGACCAAGTCGACCTTTGAACCATGTGAATACCAGTAAATTGTCAATATTATAGTAAACACTCGAGCATTCTAAAATAGTATAGTTAGGAATGTAATTACTACTAAAATTTAGCTTCATTTCTATCCCTCCCCTGTTCTCCATGAAACCATTCAGATGACTCGCAACATTCTAAAGAGCATACGAATTTGAATAAGATTTCAATAAGTGAAAGAGTTCAATAGCAAATCATTTTCTCCACAACTTCAATCAGTGATAAAATTCAATAGCAAATTACTTCCTTCGCATACAAATCTACCATCTAGATGTGCCAATAAATAATTCAGTACATTAAGCAATTTTGACAGAAAAAAAAGGGGGAAAAGGAGCAGTGGATTGATTACCTGCCCTTTGTGCTCTATATGCTTGGTCTGATAGAATCCCTTACGAATTACCTTAAAATAACCACAGAATCAAATGGAATTGAAGGAATCATCAGCAGACTGAATGAAGCAAATGGAACAGAGACGAAGAAAGAAAAAGAAAAAAACCTCTCCGGCTTTCTTAGCGGCATCGACTGCAGTTCCTAGGAACTCCTCGAGAGAAACTAAGAACAAAATCAAACAACCTTTAAACAAAATATTCGAATAAGAAATGAAATCCATTATCTAAAGGAAAAATGGACTGAATGTACGAATCAAGGAGTAAAGCATTACAACAAAATTGGATTAAGCAGGTTAATCAAGGAGTAAAGCATTACAACAAAATTGGATTAAACAGGTTTATACCATTTTCCGCCATTGCTTGTTCTATCTTCCGAATAAACCTCGCTTGAATCAGAGAGAAAGAGCAGAAGAAATTGATCGGATTAGGAACAAGTGATTTCGATTTTCGATCAAATAGAAGACACAAATATGAGTTGCAAGAAACTGGTTCCTTTCATATATGAGAAGAGCTTTCGAAAGAATTTCTGCTTTAGATCTTTTTAAATCATGTCACTCTTTTATTTTATTTATTTCATGAAGTGACGTGTGAATGCCAGAGTGCCTTTCAATACTTCTAAAACTCAAATTCGATTAAAGTCAGGTTATTGTTAATATGAAAGTTAAAATGTGATTTAAAAATATTGAACCACAATATGTCACATGCAGATGCGGAAGCAATTTGAATCTTAGGCACTCTAAGGTGAATTAGTTAACATGTTCAAAAGCATTAAAACTCAATAAGTTTGAATACTAATCTTTTGTCGCTCAAGTTTCTTTTTTCTCACAAACCGGTTTCAAGCCATCACTAGTGTCTTCTCCACTATTCTCAGGCCTTAGAACGGATTGTGGAATCCGATGAGTGACTGAACTTGGGAGGGATTTAGTATATATGAAGAAAGAGTTTGGGAGAGTTTTTCTCAAGGTTTTACAAGGGAGAAGTTCCATGATCAAGAATTTGAGATCACCAAATTTTGACACTCAATTGTTTGGGATTATGTGGCAAGCATGCTTGAGTTAACCAAATTTTGACACTCAAAATTACACTTAAATTTGTGGGGTTTATTTGGCAAGCATGCAAGTTTGGTTAAACCAAATTTTGACACCTCAAAATTCCACTAACATGGATTTTTCCATTAAATGAAGTCAACATTTTGTCTTTCTTCGTTTTGATTCAACAATCAATTTGAATTACTAATTTCAAATTAAAGTAATACTAAAGGATTAATTAAACTAGCTGTAGTCCATTGCCTCCGAGTCTGGAAACAGTATCTCTTGGGATCACAGTTCGTAGTGAAGACGGATAACAGCGCCATTTGCCACTTCTTTGATCAACCAAAATTGACGGCAAAACAAGCCCGGTGGCAGGATTCGTTGGCTGAATTCGACTTCAAGTTCGAACACAAAGCAGGAAAGAGTAATCAAGCAGCCGACGCACTGAGTCAGAAGGGCGAACATGCGGCCCTGTGCATGTTAGCCCATATTCACTCAAGTAAGATCGATGGATCAATGCGCGACATCATCAAGGAACATTTACACAAAGACCCATCGGCCAAAGCTGTCGTCGAACTAGCTAAAGCTGGGAAAACACGACAGTTTTGGGTTGAGGGAGACTTTCTGATGACAAAAGGAAACAAATTGTATGTCCCAAGAACGGGAGAACTGAGGAAGAAGCTCATTCAGGAATGTCATGATACCTTATGGGCCGGACACCCTGGGTGGCAAAGAACATACGCCCTAATAAAAAAGGGGTACTTCTGGCCAAACATGCGAGACGACATCATGCAATATACCAAGACGTGCCTCATCTGTCAACAGAACAAAGTCGAGAAAGCCAAAGTCTCAGGACTCTTGGAACCTCTACCTGTGCCGACAAGACCCTAGGAAAGTGTATCTCTCGACTTCATAACACACCTCCCAAAAGTCAGGGAATATGACGCTATCTTGGTTATCGTAGACCGATTCTCAAAATATGCGACGTTCATCCCCACTCTCAAATTATGCTCAGCCGAACTCACAACCAAACTATTTTTCGAACACATGTAAAATTATGGGGCATTCCGTCGAGCATCATCAGTGATAGGGATGATAGATTCATTACGACATTCTAGATTGAGTTATTCGCCTTCTTGGGAACAACCTTAAACATCTCCTTGAGTTATCACCCTCAAACCGATGGACAGACAGAGCGGTTCAATTGCTTGCTCGAAGAATACTTACGTCACTTCGTCGACACTCTCCAGAAGAACTGGATACAACTATTAGATGTCGCTCAATTTTGCTTCAATTGTCAAACCAGCTCGTCTACGTGAAAGAGTCCCTTCGAAATTGTAAGTGGATGACAACCGGCCTTACCTCATATTATTGATCATTCTTATGCAGGAAAAAACCCTCAAACTCACAACTTCACAAGAGAATGGAAGCAGGCAACAGATATAGCCCGGGCATATTTAGAGAAGGCTTCCAAGCATATGAAAAAGTGGGCGAACAAGAAGCGTCGCCCCCTTCAATTTCGAGCAGGAAATCAAGTTCTCATCAAGCTGAAACCAGAACATATCAGATTTCGCAGCCGAAAGGACTAGAGACTAGTTCGAAAATATGAAGGCCTAGTTGAAGTCCTTAAAAAGATCGGGACTACCTCCTACCGAGTTGCACTACCTGCATGGATGAAAATCCACCCAGTAATTCATGTGAGCAACTTGAAGCCATACCACCCTTACCCAGACGACGACCAACGAAATGCAATCACGAGACCTAGCATCGATCTGAGGCAAAAAGAAACAAAAAAAGTAGAGGAGATCCTGGCCGACAGGGTTAGGAAGATAGGAAGACCCTGTACGGATGATTCGTGAATTCCTTGTCAAATGAAAGAATCTCCCTACAGAGGAAACCAGCTGGGAATGCGCCAAAGATATGAACTCCGCCGCCACCCACATCGCAAGGTTTGAAAGTAGTCGGTTGACAGGAACATCAACCAATTAGGTGGGGGAGGATGTCACGGTCATGCTCGTCCAAGGCGTGTTGCCCATGGCCGCATGCCCATGGCAAGCCAAACCCTTGTCATGTCTTTTCATCCTAGTGTTTTTACTTTTGTAGTTCTAGGGCGTCTGACGCCTCAAAAATATCATGTCTAGGCCTGCCAGACATGAAATGTCTCAGAATGTGTTATAGGGGGATATGACTAGTTGTCAACTTCTCCCTACCCAAGGTTATATATGCTAAGCCGTTATCTCTCTCTTGCTTGCTTATATAACGTCTCTTTCAAAAATCTCTCTCTACCCTCGTTTTTTAAAACCTTCTTTTAAAACTGAGGCTAGAGGCTCGATCATACGTCGCTTGGCCGTAGGCGACGCAAAAACAAATTGACTTAGCTCACTTGTCGCTGGAAAGTGAATGTCACACAATCGCTAGTCCGCTGTCTTCAAAAGTGCGATTGTGTCACCTAGCATACCCCCACCATGAATACTACTCACTTGAAAACATGAAATGTAGCAAGAGTGAGTATATTAATAACCCACCTACTTATATGCTCTCGTCGAGTTTGGTTGGCAGTACACATACAAAATTTTCAAACATTATTCAGCTACTTAATTATACGGACAATAAAAGATAGTTTAATCAATTTCATATATCCCATTTTGTTTTTCTCATATATAAATAAAATAGCTCATACACTCTACTCATGCAAAGAGTCTGGTGCTCGCATGTAGTCTAATATATGGACTATTGTAAAATGTAAAGAATTGAACTTAAAATTGATGTGATGGGTTCATATAGGCTGCCTTCGATAAAAAGGACAATATCAAACTTTCATCAAATATAAATTGGTGACATTAGCCTAAGCTAATCAAGGAATTGGCCTTACTATAGGATATACTAGAAATTATATGAGTTACAATTATGATTGATTGAGATGATGTACGATGACGCATGTGTATTTATGTTTATGATGTATGAGCTACGATGATGTATGAGTTGTATCTTATGATATCGTATGTTAGTTATGTGGTGATGTATGAGCTATGATGTATGATGATGTACGTGAGTTATATTACGATGTATGACGTACTTGACATGCTTAATTCACTTAATGGCGTTATGATGAGTATGATGTGTTTGCATGACGTTTATCTTAATATGTTGATGTTTTCCATATTAAGCATGCTATATGATGATGAAGTCATATTGCATCAAGTTGATAAATCGATCTAGGATATAACCCTAATACTATGAAATTGATATTAATATAAATATCTAACGAGCATGTTTTACTAAACGTAACAAAGAGATGTGACTAGGGTTGTGTCAGAAGAGATGTTAAGATGAGAACTAAAGGGACCTCATGCATGTTGTGTCTACATAAGCATAGGGATACTTCCCTAGAGACGATGAGTGCAGGCGCACATAGTATGATGATGAGGGTGTTCATGGAGAGCATGACACCAGGGGTTCTGCTGACCTCTGGATGTCGCTACAAATAGTTAGCTTGACTAGAGAGGGTCCAGTGGGTGTGCAAGCCGCTTGAAGATTCACACTCGCACGTGTGGGTCGTGTGTAGAAAAGTACTACACATCCATAGTAGTCTAAGACTGGAGACCGACCCTAGTATGAGAAAAAGATAGTTTTTTTTTTTTTAGTATGAATAACATTTTATTTCAAAACATTGATAAGAGGTTTTTTTTTTTCAACTACATAATTATCATTTCATCCATGATGTTTGAAATAAATTATGCAAATATAAGTCCATGACAACATTTAAGTTTTGAATTTACTTGTCAAATACGACACTCAAGGGTCTACTGACTTCCAGACATTGTTACGGACAACTAGCTCGACTATGATGGGTTCAGGGAGGTGCAAACCACCTGAAAATTCACGCTCGCACGTGTGTGTCGTATGTAGAAAAGTAATACACATCCAACTTAATTTGGACTTGAGTCACCCCTAGGATGTTTTAATCATAGGTTCCTAGAGCATTGTTGCATGAATTTACATTTTTCATGACCCCTATATTCTTTGAAATATTTAGGCCGTGTGCTATCCTATTTTAATTTAGTTTTTGAACTTTTAAATTGATATTTTAAATATTATGAAATAGCATTTTGTAATTAATTTTAATAGTGATGCAAAAATAAATTAAAAATAATTTCAAACTAAATTTAACATTAGTGGAAGTTGGAAGTCAAACTTAAACCCTAAATACAAACCAAACTCAAAACTTAGGAGTTAAGTATAACCTTTTTAAATCATTATTTTTTAAAAAATAATAAATAAATAAATATCAAAACATTCTTTTTAATTGTTTTTGGAACATGGTAAATTTTAGAAACGGTGTCTCTTAATCCTAGGAAAAAACAAAAAGTAGGGTTAGGTTACCATAAGTATGATTTGGAATCCCTTACGACCAAATTCTTTATAAATTGCTCTAACACACCACACTCCTCACCAAAACTTTCCTTTCTATCATTTGTTCATTCACCCGCTCCCTCTACGCCTACGATGAAATCCTACTCCGCTTCACTCTTCCTCGTCCTTCTCCTCCCGATCCTAGCCATCGCTCA